CAAACAACTTCAGTTCTGGGGTTTGCAGGTTTTATACTGAAAGGTTTTAAATTATAAACGAGGTTTGATTAGGACTCACATAATTAACCCAGCATTGCAACCCAACAGCTACACCATAACCTAGCCAAGGAAGTTGCCACTAAACTCAGCGCCCTTTTGCATCTCATTGGGTAGCGCTTGCAGCAATGCGCCTGGCGCATGAAGCTGACAGTTAAGAGCGGAAATCACATATTTCCAAGCAACAGCGGAAACGCGTGTTTTTTTGCTAGTTTGAGTGGGGTAGGTATGGGTAGGTGGTACGCGGGGCAAGAACTTTGCCGAAATACGTTAGGCTCTGCGCTCAACCCGAACCCTCCAAAAGAACTGAAATTTCCGTATATGCAGAAAAAGACCGTCAATGTACACTTTTGAAAAAAAAAACGTTTTTGGCAGGCTGTAAAAAAAGTGCCCCTTGGTTGGTCCAGGAATACGCCACCCTTGTCAATTGTGCGATAAACGCATCAACAATCGGACACAGAAAGGCTGGTCCCCTTGCACAGCCCAAAAAAACCGGCCTCCCCGCTCCCTCTCTCCCTCCCTCTCCCTCCTCCCTCCCTCCCTCCCTCCCTCCCTCCCTCCCTCCCTCCCTCCCTCCTCCCTCCCTCCCTCCCCTCCCTCCCTCCCTCCCTCCCTCCCTCCCTCCCTCCCTCCCTCCTCATGCGGAGAATAGCCAGACATTGTTTAATGTGAAATGTCTAACTATGTTGAAGCAATATATTTTTGTGCGAGCGGGGCATCAGCTTGTTGCCACCTGGCGCTATGTCAGAACTTGCTGTCCTGTATGTCAGAATTGCTGTCATGTTAATGAATTGCGCGACAAACCTCTTTGGCTCAGACATCGCGCGCCTGGGCTGCTATGCGATGCTGGTTTCATGCACATCACTTAACCAGGTTTGGATCCAAGCACTCTCTTAATTGGGCTCCCTTGCTTGACAACATGATGAATTCTGTTCTGCAGAGGCTTTGGTCTCTAGCTGGGTGGCACAGCTCTATGGAGTACGTGGACATCTTGCACACTGTTTGGCTTGGCGCTGGACGTGATGCAGTTGGAAGCTTGTTGTTGGAAGCAGTGGAACATCATGAAAGCTTCCTGTGCAGCAGGCACGTGCAGCTCGTCTGTGTTCGATTCCTCGCAGTGCGACGATCCAGTGAGCACACACGCAATGAGAATTCATGCACGCCCAACAAAACGCGGGCAGGCCACAGCAAGAAAGGACGCCAGGAAGCTGATCCTCAGCTTCAATGTTAACGTATGTTCAGCTCCATCTAGGGCAGGCGCTTGTACAAAATTACAGCTCAAGCACACATCATTGCACAAGCCAAGTTTCATCAGGCGATTTGCATAAGCCTTGCCATAGCCCAAAGGAAAGTCGTATGCAAGTGAGTACCTCAACGTGCAACTTCTCCAGACCTTGGGCCAACCGTGACAACAAGCGCAATGGCTGGCACACAAATGAACAGCGCTCCCCCGCGCGCCAGGCCACTCAACTCCTCCAAACTAGATGGGTCCAGATGACGTTGACGACACCAGGACCGCGCCATCATCACAATCTTCTCCAATCGCTCATTCCAGTGATCGCCCATGGTCATTGAATGAGTGGGCGCACCACCTTGACACCTGTCCGATGTGGCTCACTGTGCCACAGAAGCAGCGATCCACAGAGTGGCTTGGCATATATTTGCGCGCCCTAGGCTTGGGAAACTGAGGCCGTGAGTCAGATCAGGCCGCGATGGAAAGTGCGACCAAAGTTTCACTCTTTTCTGTGTGAGACCATCCTTTGAGAGGGTCTCCTGAACCCAAGGGCCTCCAGCTGCTGGCGAGGAGGACAATGTGGGGCAGCATTGTGCTGTGGCCAAGGGGTCACTTCATGGCGCAACACTCCCGAAGAGAGTGCTGCAAAGGTGGCTTCTTCGCCTGAACTCTCACTTGGTGGCGCGCAGTGGGTAAAACAATCTTGGGCTTGCTGGTTTGAATCCTGCATCAAGCAGTTTTTCAGGAATTGAATGCTCAGCTGGGAGCTTCTGAAATAACATCTGATTTTTGCGTCGCACATTTGGCATTTGCGTCCGTGTGTGTGTGATGCGTACGTATTTATAGACTATAGACCCATACATTTTTATCTTACAAGGTACTGCGCCCCAATTATGATTTTGAGGTTGATGAGTTTGAGGTTGATGAGATGATGTTGAAGGACAACTGTACTATAGCCCGTCATTTCTAGATGGTCCTGAAAACGACACCCCTGGATGCAATTTTTCTTAGGTGCAACTTATTCATATGAGTTTGTTAGCGCACTTTTTGAGATTGGAGGAAACTTAAGAAGCCACCATTAGTTCTTGGGGGCCCTGCGCACAAACACACGTACACACACACACACACACCTGCACCCATGCACACACGCCATGTAAACTCCATGATTTGGCTCAAGACGTATGTTAAGCCAGACCAAAGGTGAATGGACCACACCACATATCACACTTTGGCTCCTCGTACTGGCCTGCAGATGACGTGTGTGCACACGTGTAAGGCTATAGATGGCGTTCAGCTGATGCGGTTTTGGTCGTTTGGCCACACATAGCACGATCTGACCAAAAACATGTCACAAGTGCCATCTGACCCAAAAAAAAGTGGCCAAATGACCAGTTTTTCGGTCTGACCACCACTCCAGGAAGCAGCCCCGCAAGTTGTGTGTCTTGTTGGATTTCCCATAGAAGGCAAGATTCAGCTATTATGCTTGCAAGCAAAGCATTGGCTCCAGGCATCGCTGGTGAGCGTACGCACGCGAGAGTTGGGGCAAACAAAAACCCTTGAGATTTTGACGGGCAACAAGTAGAAGCTCAAAGGTTTATGTTTGCCTCCCCCTGTGCCGTGTTGCAGGCCTGGCACAGCTTGCAGCAGGCGGAGAGTAGCAGCGATTTCCAGAAATGATTCACGAAATGTCAGCAACCGAGACAGCCTGGGCATGCTCTCTACCTGGCCACCTCAACCTGCTGTCCCTTGCGGCCCTGCTCCATCATCGCAGCGGGCCGCGCCCAACCGCCGGCATCATGACGTGCTCATGTGTACCCCCAAATAGCACCCCACAATTTGTACAATATAGCCAGTATTTTCAGGCCCCGTACAGGGCCACCCCCTTCCCCTGTTCCGTGTTTTACGCATTTACATTTTCCGAACTTCTAAAAAAGCAGCCCCACGCCCCGCCTGAACTCACCTGCTCCAGAATGCGTACCCCGTTCCGGATCGCGCCCCCCTCCCTCCCCCCGTTCCGGATTGCGTACCCCGTTCCGGCCCACGCGTTCCGGAGCGTACCCCGTTTCCAGATCCGCCACTCCCGTACCCCCTTCCCCCGTTCCGGATTGCGTACCCCGTTCCGGATCGTGCACCGCGCGTTCCGGATTGCGTACCCTGTTCCGGATCGCGCCCCCCCACCCCACCCTTACATTTTCCAGAGTTCTCACAAAAAGCACCGCCGCCCCTCTACCACCTCCCCCCGTTCCGGATTGTGTACCCCGTTCCGGATCGTGCCCCCACCCTTACATCAAAATTTCCAAAGTTCTCACAAGAAACACCGCCACCCCCTACCCTTCCCCCGTTCCGGATTGCGTACCCCATTCCGGATTGTGCCCCCCGCACGTTCCGGATTGCGTACCCCGTTCCGATCGCGCCTCCCCCCCACCCTTACTTTTCCTTTTTTCACAAAAAGCACCGGCACTCCCGTACCCCCCCCCCCCCCCGTTCCGGATTGCGTACCCCGTTCCGGATTGCGTACCCCGTTCCGGATCGCGCCCCCCCCCCTTCCATTTTAAAAAATTCTCCAAAAACACACCGCCACTCGACCCTGCTAAGAGAGATTGTAACCCAACATCTGATCGCTGTTGGGAACAACCTGATTGATGAAGTTAGATCTTTCATAGAAGTTGAAGAGAAGCCAAGAAGGAAAGGCAAGCTAGTTGTTCTTCTGATTGCCTGCCCCTTAAAAGGAGTGAACAGCCAATAGAAGGAACATGCATTTTCAGTCCTGTTGTTTCACAAGTTCTGCAAATTCACACTCAAACCATACAGCGTCCTCCGCAATGCGCCCAATCATCTGTGTATGATGAGGAATGCAACATGCAGGCTCCTGCCATTCCCCCCCCCCCCCCCCCCGCTGCCCCCCTTCCGCCCCCCCCCCCCCTGCCCCCCTTCCCCCCTGCCCACCCTCGCGCTCTTTTTGCTTTAGTCTATGGAATTGGTTGTTACGTATTTGTGTGCTTGTCTGCACATGTATGTATATATGTCATATATATATATATATACACACACATGTTCCCGGCTTGCCTGTTGGCGCACGTTTGTCCTTTCTATTGGGTGAGTTCCCTTTAACAATAAGCAGCACGAACCACGCTTCCCCTGCGAGCGCAGTTGTCGCACGGTCTCACACGGTAAGAAGTTTCGTGCTCATGTTTCAAGTTTTGGACGTGTATCTTCGTTGAAAGGGAATCCAGCATGTTCCCCGCCAAAGGAGTAGGTTGGCCGGGGCTTCGTGTTGCCTAGCCCGCAACTTCTATTTCGCCACGCTGGTTGAGACCTTGTGGGAAGTCCTTTTCGGATATTCACTCTGTCGCAAGAGGTCCGGCAACCGGAGGCCCACTCAAATCAGGTGAAACCTGCGGCAACATCTTGCTTTGCCCTTGATCAACATGTCAGGAACATGATTAATGGCGCCACACCGTCTACTATGTCAACAGAATGACATTGGGTACACTCAACTCTTTACCACTCTCCTCACCAAAACCCTTCGGCACTGGGCACAATCTCCATCTAACCCCCAGGAAAAGAAATAAGAAAGCTGCACAAGGGCCCCTTTAATCGGAACATGGTCTTCCAAGACCTCGGGTTCTACATTTTTCTCTCTCCCTGACGGACCGTGGGTGGCTGCAGGTAAGCCCCCCCTCCCCCCCCCGGACAGTCCGGCGGCCAGGCCACCGCCAGCTGTTTGGCTAACGCCTTCTGGGCTCGGAGCCCAGCGAGTCCAACGTTGAGGGTACCGAGATCTTTGCTGATTGGCTGAACGGGACACGGGGAAAACAACCGCAGTTTTGATTCAGGCCCCATATCAACTGTCAATCAAAGCTACATGTATATATATATATACACATGTTGATACATATATGTATATATATATATATGTATGTACCTGTTGATACATATATATATATATTGTCCAAAGAAGGAAATGCAACTTTCCTGACTGGTCTACCCGTTGTTGGGTTTTTAGCGCGTCGCTGCACAAAGAAATTGAAATAGAGTGAAGCTTATTGCTCTCTTGCTGATTGCTTATTTCGTGCTTGGAACCTTGGGTAGGGTCGATTCACTCTGCGTGTTGAACATGGAACCCGAAACAGGGGTCCTTTAAAGGAGTTCAAAATGCATTGGGGTTCCATGTGAATCGGCTGACTGGGGGAGGGGTAGTGAACGAAGCAGCGGATCGGGTCGGACGCTGGCACAGCGGATCGAAGCCACTGGAGTTGCGGGCTACAAGATACTTGCCTTTTGGTGATGTGATGTGTCAGGTGTGATTTATCTTTAAGGCTTTGGTTAGTTTTGAAGGGAAACCATGAAAGGACACCAACCATGTCTAGGGGTTTCGCTTTTTTGAGGCCTCATGTACTAATATGGATGAACATTTGGGATGGTAAACATCATTGTGGGAAATCAGGGCTTCAATCGGCTTAGGCGCCACTTTCTGCGAGTGGCCACGGCAATTCCCTTGGGGTCACGCCGGTCTTTAAGGGAAAGGAGGGGTATTTATTTTAGGATTTGTTTCGTTTTGTTTTTTGAATTTCTTCGAACATCATAGGGGAAGCCACCCCCGCCAACCCTCCTGCTGCCTGTTAAATTCTATCACGCCCTTTCTTGAATCATTGCACCCCTACTTGAACCATCACTTCTTCCGACATCATGGGGGGGGGCTGCCGCCCCCCCCAACCCCCCCGCTACATTTTAGACTTTTTGCAGAGATTTCATTGCGCCCCTATTCAAATCATCACTTCTGCAAACAACATCATGGGGGCTGCCGCCCCCCCCAACCCCCCCGCTACTTTTTCAGAAAGGGACGCTATAGGGGCGCCTGTACGCGGTGATTTCAGACATGTGACGCAAATTTATCAGAATTGAGGTTTGTTCCTCCATTTGATAACTCCATTTGTCTTGTTTGTCCTTATTAGATAGCAAGAGCAGGTCAAAATTGTGCTTATCTTGGGGGGGCACAAAGCCATGATTTTGAAATGGGCGCAGTTTCGAGGGTTTCTAGTTTTCAGTCTTGCGATTGTTTTTTTAGATTGAAATGCCCTCCTACTTGAATCATCATTTCTTTGACCCCGTCACACGATTTGTTGGTGATGCCAGGGATGTTGGTCGGACATGCGGGGGATGTTGAAGACGATGCTGGGGATGTTGACGGGCTAGTGTAAAATGCATCAATTTCGCGAGAAAATGCCGTGAAATACGACATTTTACTGGCCCGGCAGAGATTGAATTGCACGCGTGTTTGAATCATCACTTTTTCGAGCGTCCAATTTCGCGAGAAAATGCTGCAAAATACAACATTTTAGGTTGTCTGTGTAATCCATGTATGTCTGTATGTATGCATTTCTTCGAACATCATAGGGAAAGCCACCCCCGCCAACCCTTCCGCTGCCTTTTAAATTCTATCACGCCCTTTCTTGAATCATTGCACCCCTACTTGAATCATCACTTCTTCCGACAGCATGGGGGGGCTGCCGCCCCGCCAACCACCCCGCTACGTTTTTGGATATTCTACAGAGATTTAATTAATTGCACCCCTAGTTGAATCATCAAGTATTCGAACATCATGGGGGGGGGCTGCCGCCCCCCCCTACTTTTTAGACTTTTTGCAGAGATTTAATTGCACCCCTATTCGAATCATCACTTCTGCGACCATCATGGGGGGTGCTGCCGCCCCCCCCCCCCCAACCCCCCCGCTTTTTCTTCTTTTTTTTACAACTAGTTTTTTATTTATTTGTTTTTTGCTGGGATTGAATTGCCCTCCTGTTTGAAGCATTATTTTTTGACCCCGTCAACCCGCCAGCTACTTTTCGGATTTTGTTACCCACGATTTGTTGGTGATGCTAGGGATGTTGGACGGACATGCGGGGGATGTTGAAGACGATGCTGGGGATGTTGACGGGCTAGTGTAAAATGCGTCAGTTTCGCGAGAAAATGCTGTGAAATACGACATTTTACTGGCCCGGCAGAGATTGAATTGCACGCGTGTTTGAATCATCACTTTTTCGAGCGTCCAATTTCGCGAGAAAATGCTGCACAATACGACATTTTAGGTTATCTGTGTAATCCATGTATGTCTGTATGTATGCAGTTCTCCCAACCCCCCCGCTACGTTTTTGGATATTCTTCAGAGATTTAATTAATTGCACCTCTAGTTGAATCATCAATTATTCGAACATCATGGGGGGGGGGCTGCCGCCCCCCCCTACTTTTTAGACTTTTTGCAGAGATTTAATTGCACCCCTATTCGAATCATCACTTCTGCGACCATCATGCCGCCCCCCCCCCCAACCCCCCCGCTTTTTCTTCTTTTTTTTTTACAACTAGTTTTTTATTTATTTGTTTTTTGCTGGGATTGAATTGCCCTCCTGTTTGAAGCATTATTTCTTGACCCCGTCAACCCGCCAGCTACTTTTTGGATTTTGTTACCCACGATTTGTTGTTGATGCTAGGGATGTTGGTCGGACATGCGGGGGATGTTGAAGACGATGCTGGGGATGTTGACGGGCTAATTTCGCGAGAAAATGCTGTAAAATACGACATTTTACTGGCCCGGACGAAAAACGGAGAAAAAAAGAAAAAAAGAAGAACACAAAAACGCACCCTAAGGGAAATCTGGAGGAAAGCCAGCCATTTGTGGTGGTCCCCAAAAGGACATACTCATCCATCAGGTTCCGGAGAAGCAAAATTGCAATGTCGGGTTCAGCAACTATTCGATACTTTCTGGTTGACGTTGTTCGCTGAACAGGGATGAGACTGGTTTGGTCTGACTTTGGCTTCGCTTCTGACTGTTGCACTCCTGTGCATTACGTTCAGAATATACCCCTGACATGGACTGCATTCTTTAAGGCATGGTACAGCGGCATGTGAATGCACGTAGCTCATTGGCAGACACCAAGGCAGTTGAATTGTGTCCACGATTAATTCAACTACGCACGCCGCCTTCCCCCCAATTCACGCCTATGCATGTTAGTTTGAGCACCCTTGTTTCCCATGTTCCGTCATTGACATGGGTTCCCAGGTGATTGGAGCACCCGGGAGTGGCAAGAACTGCCTGATGTGCCGCATCATCATGGACCGCCCGCTTGTGATGGCTTAGATTCTGGCAGGCTGCGTGCCAGAATCTGGGAGTTGTTGTTCTCGTTCTATGCCCTCCGGCTGGAAGGCTATGTTTCTTTCAAGGGACCCATGCCAGGTTCCATGTGAGTGGTTTGGCTCGTTCTTTTTTTGAGGCTCCGGGCCGAAAGCGCCGGTAAGAATACTTTGATCACCCGATGGAATTCGCGGGATTTCGGACCAGTCCATAGTGCCCTCTGTTCCCTGTGAGAAATGACATGGATCCCGCAACAAAGATGCTCCAAGCCAACTTGCCACCGTTTCAAGAGGCCGAGACAAGGGGTGTTTTGGTACCCCGCGGTTTTGGGCTACGGGATTCCTACACCGATTCCTGAAGTCCGCAAATATCACTTCCATTTGCTTAAGAACATGTTTTTTCCCTGTTGGTTTTGAAAGGAATGTATCACTACTGGAAATATTTTCCCAAGGGGCTTAAGCAAATGGAAGGTCATGGCCCAAATTCTCGATTGCGAATTCGGGCTGAAGTAAGTGTATCAAGGTCTAGCAAAGCTCTGTTATGCCTGAGGCCAGCTTCAAGTATCATTTGAATAAGCCTGTCCGACAGCTCCAGTACTCACCAATGATGGCACCAGGTCCCTGGACAATACCATGGAAGGGTATTCCCCAATAAGCCGTAAATGAAGGCTTTCAATTAGCTGTAAAGAAGACTCAAGTGTCATATTTCTGCCCTGGGGTCCGGTCTAGAGTTTGTGGCTGATTTTTGGCAGTTTCGCTAGGGTTGGCAAGCCCGAGCTTTTTTGTCATTTTTGTATGGCCCAACGGCCGGCAGGACGGTTTGCATTTTGTTTTTGGCAAGAGCAGGTCAACTTCCAATATATGCTGTTTAGATGTGATGTGTGTGTGTGTGTGCTTGCTTGTTACGTCTTTGGGAATGCAAGACCAGCCTCAGAATCATCAAGCGTGGTAGGCAATGCAGCATCCGCGGGCTGTCATTTGCTTGGCGAGGACAGCGTGTCTCGGTACGACAATCTGGTGTCCAGCACTAAGCTGACGAGTGATGCTTGGGACTTTGAGCCACGTGCCAACTTAGCAATATTTGCCAGCTTAACGCAAAGGGCGCCCGTGCGCGACCCGAAAAAACGAGGAGGCTTGAGAACCTGAATGCTTTGACCCGTGCATGTTGCAAGGGACTTGGCGCTTGCTGCTTGACAAAGTATCAGAACTGGCAAACACAACTTGTGTGACCATTTGTTGAGCCTCGCATTTGGCTTTTATGATTCATATTGTCCAGAGCGTGGATGTGAAGCTGCTCGGTGATTGGTCCAGTTTGCCAGCCTGGCAAATGGTCAACCAGTTTTGTCAGTTGTTTTGATATTGTTTGGCTCATAGTCTGCAGGGTTTGTGCACATGCTGGCACAAAGGTTGTCTCGCTCTACTTCGGAGAAACAAAAAAAAAAGACAAGCAAACAAAAGCAGCGGTCCCAAACTGCATGTGTGCTGCCTGAGGACCTGGGAAGACACAGGGATGCTCGTAGGGGTTCTGGCACTTGTTGGTCCTCCCATGGTGTTTCAGAAAGAGAGAACAGTCAAACTTTGCAGCAGTTGAAGTTGCCTGAATAAATATGATCGCCGGCAATGGGGGAGGCAGGGGTCGTTTACGGCTCCCTGGGATTCGACGACAGCTAGAAGTTGATGCATGGGCTGGTACACGGGAACAGACCACCGAAATTCAACAGGGCGATTCGAACTGGCAGATGTCTTCCCCCGCTTTTCCCTGAGGCTTGGTATGTCCCAGGACGGCACTTTTTGGCCGAGGCCTTTGCGTTTGCCCATCATGGACCTGGCAAAGCGCACGGACCAGGCAAGGGGATGCTTCACCATGCCCCTTTGTGGCGCCCTTTTCGCTTTTGACGTTCTGGATCGAACATTTTGGCGAGTCTCCATTGAGAACATGTCTTAGCTTCACAAGGTGTTGGGACTTGAGACCCTTTGTAGGCCTTCAAAAATCGGCGCAGAGGCTCGCAAGGGTGCAGTTGCCTGGTAGCTGAGCTTTCCCTGGATTGCCAGAACTTTCATTTGCCACCGTGTTGGTCTGATAAAGAGATGCGTTTCATAAGGCTTTCTAAACTGCTGGGGCAGCTTTGGCCCAACAAGCCAGGTCTATTTTTTTTCTGTGGTCCTGCTGCAGCTGGGTGGCTATAAAATGACCTCACACGACCTCACCCCAAATGGTGGTTTATGTGGGGAATATGCCCCCCAACCACCACCTTATTTCAGGTTGGTGAAATATTATGATTCACCCAGATTCAAGAAAGGTATGATTCCCGATGACTACTTGGCAAGCAATAAGCCAGTCATACATCAAAGAAGTCGACCTCGGCAGGCGGGTTGCCTTTGTGGACCAATTCATTGACTTCATTCAGTGCTGGCAGCATCCATAGGTCCAAATTTTCAAGGCCCCCAGGTGGGTTCCAAAGACTTGAAGTTGGGATGTCAGCCCGGCGTCCCACGTTGAAGACTTTTCCGGTGGATGGAAACGGCTGGATTTTCTCGTCGAATCCGCGATGTCACAGATGCCGGAGCGGGATCCCAACGCGGTTCTGAGCTCAGCTCGGGGCACCAACCTGCTTGGCCTTCGAGAGGAGGTATCCTTTAACCGCCCCTGAGCAATGTATGGGGGTTGATCAAAAGGTCCGGCAAATGTGGGAGGAGGGAAATCACACACTTAGACATGGGAAAGGTTCTCCCATGGTGATTTTGGGGCCGAAGGGAATATTGAAGCCTCATGGAAGGGGGCGTTCCCACGAAGGGTCATGAATAGTGACCCCTAGGATCTTTGCACGCGTACTTCCATAAAAGTGGCCAAGCCCAGGTCTTAAACGGGCATCAAAGGATTTGGCTTTGCTGCCCTTTTACTCTTGCTCGTCAATCCGATGCTGATCTTGACGTTGATACTGTCGAGGACGAAATCCTGCACCACCTAAGAATCCCTGGATTGATGATTTTCTTGTAAATACCAAGCAGAGAATGGTTCCCCGTGGTTTCAACGTGGTGCGAAAGGATTTTGTCCATCCACAGTATGTCTGGCATTGTTTCTCCGTCCTTTTATTTCATTTTTGTACCATTGGGCGGTTCACAACCCCAGCCTGGGGAGCTGCGCTGGAGCACAGAACAGGCCCTTCACAAGTACCTCGAACTGCGTGTCTGGTGGAAAATCCGTTGCTTTGGGCAAATTTCTGTATCAAGGGATGAAGCAGTCGTAGACCAGGTCCCCCAGTAGTGCCCTTTACCGTTTCTTTTTTGGGGGAGGGTTCCTCTACTAAAATAGACAAAACCGGAAAAAAAAGAGAAAAACAAGTTGGTACCAACTTATTCTAACCTCTCTACTGGAGGACCTAGTAGAGATGCCCATGCTTCAAGAGAAGGGATCCAGTCAGGTTCCGTTTCCGCCATGGCCCCTTGCGGGCTTCAGGAGGCGCAGTCATAGGATTTACCCCGCCCCCATCCCTGGCCCTTCTTCTCCCAGTGCTGTGGACAATATCCTGCACCACCGTTCAGACAGCCAAAGGAATGATTCAATTCCCCGGTAAATACCCACAAACGTCATGGTGTCAACCATGGTTTCATTTCGTGGTGCGAACGGATTTAGCAACAATCCACATTGACGACGCATCTGAGGTGCAGGCGTGGTTCGACAAGTACCTCCGTATACTTCTTGGTGAGGAGAGCGGGTGGATTTGGCATCTGACGGAAGTGCTGTTTTGGTTCCTTTGGGGTTCCTGTTGCTTCTGTTGTTTGCTTTGCAGGTCATTTGGAACTCCTGTTTGCTTGTGATTTCACAGGGCTCCTGACATGTCCCTGTTGGGTGGCTCCAACTTTGGTTGCTCAAACTTGCCAGGGTGTTTGCTTGGCGCGGTGATGTGACAGGAGGACGTATCAGAAACCCCAGTTTCAATCAATTGAATATACAACAAACAACGAGCGGGGTTATGTGTTCGACAACCTAACAACGCCAGGTTCATGATAAGATCCCGTTTCGAGCCTGAACATGCCAAGCAAATGGCGAGAATGCTCTCTCTATTGATGCTCTTGACGGAATACGTGCAAATGAGAGGAGCTCGTGTGTAAACAGCACTGCTTTGGAGGATCCTGTTTCTCAGCAATCACACCCAGATGAACAGTGCAAGCATGCTGCACATGGGACCATGGAGACGCAATGGGAACAAAGCACCGGACGGATCAAACAAAAGGTGCCTTGTCTTCACAGGGTGTCGGACTCCAGCTGCGTGTGGCCTCGAGCCCGAAGGGCGTCCGTAACCTTTGAAGCTCCGCAGCATGCCGTGCATTTCCTGCATCATCCGGACACAAGACAGCCAAGACAATTGGACCCCAAAACATCCCCGACATCCCCCAATGCCATTTTGCTCAACCTTCAAAAACCACCGTAAATACAGTCGAAATTGATCGCCACAGACAGTCCCATCCCCCACATCTTTCCCAGCGTGCACAGCATTCCGACATCAGCGGCCTCGGGCGTACCCAGCACCACGAGCTTTGAACCTTCCAAAACTGGCCCCGAGAGTCGTTTTTGAGGGAACGTGGACATGCAAGGATGCTTGTGATCAAGCGAGTGGGGCTCCTACGAAAGCGGAGCAATTACCACATGCGAAAATCCATGGCAAACGCCGTGCTCTTTTTGTGGTTGTTCCTTGGTTTTTGCGGGGTTGAGAGGGGATGCTGGAAACGCGGTCGTCTGTTTGGCGTTTGGTGCGCATCGCTCCTGGCGCGCGCGCGCGCGCTGCGCGCTGCGCCGTGGGCAGGGGCGGGCGGGAGGGAGGGTGCTATGGGGGTTGGGTGGATCCCTTAGCTGGCCGACCAGCGCAGCTGGTGGGGTTACTTGGCTTGTGAAGCTGATTGTGTTGCAAAGCACCGGACAGATAGTACAGGTTTGTAATTACGTTTTTCAGGTCTTGGATTCGATGTACCTGGCTTTGTGAAAGAAATGCCTTGACTTGAAGCCTTCGAAATGAGTCACGTGCGCCGCATGTTTTTGGCTTCCGCTTCCGCAGCCTCTCTACAGGCGTTTGAAGAAGTCCATGGAGCTCGTGAGAACAGCATCGGCGATCACCGTCGGCTCGACGCAGACATGCGACCCCCCACGAAGCCTGCACCACTCACGGCTTTCCGTGCAACACTGTAGAGGACAAGCCATTGCTTCACATGTATTTCTTGTTATTCTTGTGTCCTGATCTTTGTCTCGCTGGGTACAGCCTGCAGCTTTTCACTGCCGCAGCACATTCACTTTGTTGCATTTTGCCAAGGGATGTTAGGACTTTAACTTTTGCCACCTGCTGGGTTTTCCGAATTAAACCACTCAAAGTGAGTCACTTTTAGCAGGGCTTCGCAGATTTCGCAACCGACAAACCAATCGCACCAGGACACCCCGAGGTACAAGATGATGAAGATGGCCATCGCCATGCGACGCCCGTTGGCCCAGAACCCACGGAAGGTCAGCCCAGTTGGCTGCAGGGGGCGGGCATATCGATTTTTGGGTGACTGAGAGGTTGAAAGTGCACCGACCCATCATAGTATATATATATATGTTTAATATATATATATATATATGTTTAATATATATATATATTGCTTAAACACAAAAGCACCATTTACAGCGAGGCCGAACTGCAACCGTGCAGAGTACTTGCTGCCACGCCGTTGAGCGTGATATGGAAATCCGTCCATTTAAACCCAGCCCTGCTGCTTCAGAAGCATGATCGCTTGGGACAAGCCAGCTTAGACCAACTCACCAGGAAAGAGGGGGTACGAGGGGTCTATGAACACATGCATGTGATACTGTGGATGGACAAAATGTTGCACCACCTAAGAAACCATGGTAAACCATTGTTTGCTGGTATTTACATTGGAATCATTCCAGGTTTCTTAGGTGGTGCGAAATGGATTTCGTCCATCCACAGTCGCTCTTTGAACTTCTACAGTTGCATGCGGATCATTTTTGCCCTCCAGGACTGAAAGCCTCCCCGAGGTGCGCTCTTCCTTTTCGAGGGCTTGGACGCCGCGGGCTCCGAGCGGAACCTCATGGAGGCCTGATGAGTTTGCATGGCGTTGCGGGATTCATGGAAACGTGGTAAGTCATAGGAGTCGACAGTTGTTTTGTGTTGATTGAATCATTTAGGATACATTTAGGAGGCCAAATCGACATTGTAATCCTGTAGCCCCTTATAATATGCTCCGCAGATGTCCTTCATATGCCCCTCATATCGACTACATGTGCCCCGTTTTGCTTGCCTTTCAGGTGTGAAGGCAAAGCCACCCGGAGCGACGTGAGTGACCCTTTGTCTGTTGGCTTCCATTGGGATGGCGAAGCTGAGCCAGCGGAAATGCGACAGGCGGTGGAGATGTTGATCCAAGGCCTGGTGAAGGAGGGCCACTTCCTTCTGATGACCTCGAGGCCATGGTTCGCGGTGTGGCAGAAATTTCTTCCAAGCAGAAACTGAGTGGCACATGGTGCAGAAGTGCCATTTGCACTGCAAGCTAACCATGAACCCTAGTATAAACTTGGTTTGAATCTGTGTCAGATAGGATTGGCAACCTGCGTCCGATTTGCAGTGTTCCCACCCAGATCGGAGAGGATCTGGATCTGTTGCCAATAAGAGTGCACCTATTGAGTCACTCTGCATTGTTGGCTGCTTCGTTCGCGAGACCGTTGGGGCAGTTGAAATTGTTTGCTTGCGTGGACTCTGAGTTCATGCTCTCTTTAAGCAAGTCCCATATATAGCGAACGCACACACGTTTGGGTTTGCAATCCGTTGATCCTAGGACCAATGAAGGTTCCGCTTCTTGTTGTCCCTTTCCTTGGACATCCTATGTGTCGTGTTTCTTGTTCTCCCCTATTTCCGGATTGTTTGTCGATTTTGTGCCCGTATTTGCGGTTTGATTGAACTGCGCCCAACGGAAGCTGGAGCAGGACATACTGTGGATGGACGAAATCCTGCACCACCTAAGAAACCCTGGAATGATGATTCCCCTGGTAAATACCAACAAACAATGGTTTCCCATGGTTTCTTAGGTGGTGCAGGATTTCGTTCATCCACAGTAGCGGCGTTCGCGGCTTGAGCAACTTCAGGCCGCTGCAGCCGGGCACAATGCACCTCCAGGCGGGTCGTTGATCGCTTGGGGATCGCTTGGCCGGTGACGGCATTCTGATCAAAACCACAGGCCGGTCAAGTATGCCCATTGCTGACTCGCATGGTTGCGACCTTGTGGTTCTTTCAGACAGGCTTGCAGAATGAATCTAGCAAGAGAGTCGCTTACTTGCTTACTTACTTATTTACTCACTTGGATTGGACCTGCAAGCCTATATAACAAAAATACACACACTTAAGGGTGAAGGAGTCAGCACCTCATTCTTGGCCGTAGGACATTGCCGAATACCTGGTTGTCATGGAGATGCAGCCGCTGACAGATGAGCAGAAGCGGGCCATCGCGTCAGAGGGCCCAGAGGGCCCAGCGGTCGGGTAAGAGATGTCACGGCACTGCGCCCAACTTCGAATCCAGTTGTTCTGGTTTCGCCCGTGTGGAACATTCCTGTTTCATCGACGTTTCGTGGATGTTGCATTGGGAGTTGGAGGTATACTGACCCCTGCCGTTTGCATGCGTCTGTGTGTTGTTGGTGTTGTTTTGTTTTTTTGTTCCCACCAACGTGTGTGGTTGAACACTGACCAACTGTGCCAGATTACCATCTCACAAACAACCGCGCATGTGATTTCAAGGTGGAGCCACAGTCGTAGCTTCTGCCCTTTACTCCCAGTTCATACTATTCAACCATTCATGATCTTTATAGGGAGTGCTGTTTGTAGCACTTATGAGCTCATGAATAATGGCCGGATGCCTTCACTAAGCTCCAATAAAAAAAGGCCCCCAATCATAGGTGTTCTCTCGGGAAAAGCAAGCTTCATTACTGCATAGACCTTCTTTCAAAGCGAGGCAACGTCGGGATCAATTTAGTGGTACCAGGCATTTGCGCACCACCTGAGCACATCATTTGGCATATTGCATTCGTGCCATCCAAACTGTAAGCCAAAGAGCCGCTGGGCGTTTTCGGAGCAATCCATGGACTCGACATCCGAGGAACCAGCGCCTGGGGCCACAAGGCCTTCAGTCCTTCAATGCCTTCATTCAGAAGATGCGCGCAGGTGGGGCGCTGTTGTTCTCTCTTTTTTTTGGGGGGGTGGGGGGTGGAGTTGCAGGTTAGGTTGGGACTTGGTGGGATTCGTTGCTTTCATATCAGAGGCACTAGAAAGACCTGAACAGGCTTATCGTGCGTTGATTCGTTGGGTGGCCGCCAACCTTTTGTAAGACAATCCCACCCTGGTCCTGACTGGCCGCGGGTTCATCGGCCAGAGCTCTTCCGCGGTGGAGCTGGGCCGGGCCATGTGGAAAGTCAGAGTTGCCAGCTGCTAATTTGCGGCTGGCGAGCTTGTTGCCCTCATCTCGAGCCAGTTTCTCTTTTTTGAGCACCACCTCAACCCTGTTATTTGGAAGGTGTTGTTTCTCCCTTCAGTTGCTCGGCCTTCGCAAGCCAGCGTTGGGGTGTTGGGCCATCTAGATTGACACTTGGGCGGGACTCCAGCCAAGTGGAGATGTGCAAACTTTTCTGCATACTTTCAGTTTGGATGCACTAGATGTGTTTGCATTGATTCAGCTGTGCATGGATTGCGCACATGCAGATTGAGCTGAGCAACATGCCAGCTATGGCAACGCAGAGGTTTTGAGGGTCTGTGTCATCTCTTATGCTGCCATGCAAGCCAATGATTGCAATGGTGACCGTCATTGATGGCTGCAAGGTTGGTGTCGTATCTGGAATCATGGTCTCTGGGCAATGTTTGCGGCAACCAGCACGGCTTCATCTTGTGATTCAAGAAAATTCTCAAGAAGCGAGCTGTAGGAATGTGCCCTACAGCACATTCGCTGACCCCCTTTGTGTTTCCTACGCTGGCACAGGGGTGCTTATGATCAGTTTCCTTCTGGTTGAATTCAACAATGTTTGATTGCCATAGAATGAGTTTCGTTTGAGGAGTCATGTTGCAAGACATCCTTCGAAACCCTAACTTGGTGGTTTCCCGCCGTCCGGCTCCTTAGGATTTAGTTGTTTTATGTTGTTTTAGCCTTTAGTGGTTGGGTTTTCATTTGTAACCCACAAGTTTTGCACTTACAGCCGGGGATCTGAAAACGGACCTCGGGGGAGTTTCTCGCCTGCCTTCGTCGCGATTTCAGGCCAGCACAGCAACGAGGAGGCCCAGGCGCAACCCAAGTACCGTTAGTTGTTCAATGGTTTGAACCAGGTTGGATTCTTGGGTTTGAAGCAGGTTGGGGCTTGGTTCCGGTCCCTGAGTTGCAGCACAGCTTGTGGGCTTTGTTACCAACCACCTACTGACGAGAAGCTGGTTCTGTGTTTCTTCGTGGGGTGCTATGGTTGGGGGGGTGTTGTTTTGAGTACTTCCCTCGTCGGTTGGTTCGGGAAGCAAGAGGGAAGCTACAGCCCACATTGGGGATTTCCAATCTGCAGATGCCAGCTGACAATGCTTTGTTCGGCTCTTTTTCTACAGGTGTCTCACGCATCCAACAAGACACAACAAACACCTGGTTGGAATCGTACACCAGGCCTCAATCCCGAAGAATATTCTCGAATACCATGTTGGGAGCATTGCGACAGCAGAGTATGAGGCACCTGTTGCAAGACAATTGGCAGGCTATTGGCATCAAGAAGTCATGTGGATCGTGGAAGCGGGGGATCCTCAGAGGGAAACCCCACTCTTTGCCCAAAATCAGTGTACGCAGGTACCTGGAGTCTCCATGACCCTTTAAAAATGGGGTCATTACCCAATATAAAGGGGTCATGGACCCTATTTTTTAAAAGGTCATGGAGACTGCAGGTATGTGTCAATGAGGAGGGGCTTGAGATGCTTGGTTTCTCCTAGGTGTCCGTTTTGGCGCCGGGCCCCCTCCACCGAATTGCCTGGGAAGGGTAACCAAGCCGATTGGGAGCGTCTCTGCATTCGACACACGGCGGTCAACTGAATTCAGCAAGGCTCTGGCTCATACTGTGGATGGACGAAATCCATTTCGCACCACCTAAGAAACCCTGGAATGATGATTTTCCTGTGAATACCAACAAACAAATGGCCTGTTTTTGGTTTTAAGGTGGTGCGAACGGATTTCGTCCCTCCACAGTATGTCCGATTTTTTGGGATCTCCTTACATGAAGACAATTGGCCAAATCAGGCCTCTCTCATCAGCGAGAACTTCATCCCAAAACGCACGCTGATCCTACCAGTGTTCAATGACGTTCAATCATTGAATGTCAAGCCAACCTCCTTGAACGGAGCTGAACCCTTGAATCTGTTGGTTCGTGTTTGTTACTTTTCAAGGCCGTTCCGCACTGCACCGGGATCCGAGTAATGCCAGATTCGTGAATCAGTGTTGCTGCGCACCATGTCGCATGGCGGAAATGTCGGCGGAAGCCGCCACAACCTCTCTCACAGACAATCTCACACTATAACTGTATATTGGACACTCTTTGTGGACATGAACCTTTCACGTTTTGGGAGGGAACATGAGGGTCTTGCCATGCTGCAACACACAACTTACCTTTTGCACCCTCGGTGACCGTCTACCAGAAGCGATTTGCCCCTCCACAGAGCCAGGGGCAAGTTGCGCAGAAGGACCGCCACTGGTGGGCGGGGGGCGGCCCAAAACATCCCAAGAAGAGGAAGGAAGGACATATGAAACCAACCAGGCTGAGGGGTTCCCGATGCGGGCAGCTATCTGTTTTGCAGCAAATTTTGCGGAGCACCAGTGCTACAAGAAAAAGCCACCACCAAAAAACAGTCCAAGGCAAGAGGGCAGCAGGGGCCGAATTAGTTTGGTGCCCCCAAAAACCCTTATCCAGCGGGTTGGTTTTGCACCTTGCATCAAATCTTTGCGGCGAGAAATCCCATGGCCCCAATGCACCTTTCACTCAGGAATGGATCTGGGACGGACAATGGTTCATGTTCCAGAACCGGAACCCTCCATTCAACACCCATATTGGCAACACATCCCACATCCGGTTTGTGTCAACCAAAAAGGGACCTTTCCGATGGCTTGGTGGGTCCGCACGCCAAGTTGTGCACACTGGTGCAGTGGTGCTAGGCTCCGAATGGGGCTGCATGAATGCATTGGAAAGGCAGAAAACCACGCCAGGAGCAGGAGGACATCTTTGGGAACCCCATGATGCTCAGCAACTCGCCTCTGAAGATGTGCTGGGGTGTACTGAGCCCATTTTAGCGTTTTTTTTTTGCCACAAGCTAATTTAGTGGGGAGAGGGACATTATTATTGAAAGTGTGCACCGCGCCACACGCACGGAAGCATGCGGAAGGCTGCGCGAAATGGATTTATTTCGCGGAATGTGTGCGTTAGCTTTGCGGCTGATATGAAATTCATTGTTGCAGCTTGCGTGCGTGAAAAAGCACGGAGCAACGATTGTAGAAGCAGAAAGATGTTGCTCGTTCATGCTCGTTCAAGAAACGCAACGCTTACTAGAAGAGCAGCAAGAAAACCACAACAGCCGGCGGATTTTGCGGAAGGTTTGCAGAAGGGTTCGCGGAAGCTCCGCGGAAGGGTGGCTCCGTGTTTGCAGGCAAGTGCCCACGTACGTACAGCTTACACAGGCTCGAGCGAAACACCGCTTTCCTTCCTTATGTAAAATGACTTTCCTTTCCGCCGACTTTCCGCGCCAACTCTCGCGGAAGCAAATCTTGCAAAACATGAGCAAACAATGAAACACATGTGCCGGGGAAGTTCGCGGAAGGGACCTCTTGGCCCGCGGCAAGGATGCGGAAGGCTTGAAGGGTCCTCGGAAGCTTGAATAATGTCCAATCAAGTTTGTAGGGAATAAACACCAATGCTCACTTGGCCCAGCGCATTGGTTCAACGCTTTTCCCATTGGCCAGGGCCAGGCCGGAGGCACGGAGTTTGAAGCTGAGGTGTTTCAATCGCTGGGTTTCTCTCAAAGAAAGCCTCCTAGCAGGGGGATTGGTGCAAGTACCATCAACCTACCTAGATCCAGGCCACTTGTGGCCCTTTGGAATTTGGAAGTAGGGACACCAAAAGCCAACCCGCTGTTTTTGGGGGTTTCGCGAGCGGAAGACGCCATGTCCTCTCAATGGGAGTTTTTGTCGGGTCTCATTGCATTCCTTGGGCACAGACACTTGTCTCGTTCAGTGTGAATGCTATGCGACAGGCCAATGGTGCTTAGGTTTGGCGTGGCAGATGCTCGCACGCGGTTCCACGTGGAAGTTTGGTATGGGACCCTCTGGGCTGTTGCCGTTTTGGGATCTCGGCCTCATCGAGTGTCGCCTGGCTGCCTTTCAAAAGGGGTTGCCCAGAAAGGGCTGCTACTTTGTCCACCTCCTTTGCCCAAAAAGAGAGAACTCGATGTCCCGAACCTATTTGGACACATGAGCCGTGTCTTTTTTGGGGGTACCCCGAAAAATAGTTGTTTCCTCTTGGTTTCCTTTCATACCACTCCCAAACCGGGTACTGTCAACAAGAACCACATGCCCACATTTGCCGTGGTCGACTCAGGCATGCTTCTTTGCTACCTCTCTCCGAAGGCCTTCGCCAGAAGACGTTTGCCGCAAGAAACTGCCGGCAGCAGGTTTTGGAGATGTTTAAGGCACCTCAACAAAAACGGTGCCTCTGATAAACCCTATGAGAGCCTCAGAATTTGCCAGAGCCTGAGACCAACGTAAATAACATAAATGGCTTAGACGTCGGAGGTGTCTCCCTTTGGGTGTTGGCACCCGAAAGTTATCAAAATCATGAACGTTGCTCCTGATAATACATAAAAGCCATGGATTTTGTCCAGTGGGTGCGGACGGGTGTCTTTTGTCAGGCTCCCGCACTTCATATCCGATAGCACCTCCTCTTATTTGTCAACACTAGCTACCCAACTTACCCATACTATTTGCACAAATCACCGCGAGCTCACATGGAAGAGCGTTCCCGTGTTGAAGGTTTGCATGGAGATCCTTGATTCCAGAGCTTGGACTTCTAAGACGTGTTGCAGACACAGCAGTTTTCCTTCAGTTGGCCGAGTGACCCAACCACAATCAACCACATATTCTCTTTACGTTGTCGGGGGCACCAACCTACGTATTGGGTGCAAAATACTATAAGGGGGAACATATATGGGTGGGCACGCAGAGGCAACAACAAGGATTCCACCAAGAAAGAACAATCTGGCTTGGGGGGATTCGGCTTCCGGACCACTTTCGGTGATGCCAAACGAACTGCAACGGGATCAGAACATTCCAGCTTCGTATTGCAGATTGGGTTGCCGTGGTGCGAAAGTACATGGCACAACCTCGTGATTTAGGGTTTTACCGTGCTCTTGCTGAACCAATGTATTTCTGCCACTTCCACCCTCATGTATGTTTCCCAGTGGTTCAGTTGCGATGTGGTTTTTCCTGTGTTTTGTGGGTTTTCCAGAAATGGCCCCTGAGAGATGGCTTCCCTTGTTGACTTTGGGGTAACCGACTGCAAGGGGCCTACCACGTCTTCAGCGCAGGCGGGCGACGACACCCGCAAGCGCCGGCTCACGGACGAGGAGACCCCGGTGCGGGCGCCAAGCTGGATGTTCACGTTGGGGTCAAGCAGGGTGTGGTTGGCTGGCATATTGGTCGCTTGAGTTGAAGCAATCAATGTTCGGCGATTTTCAGCAGAGATGTGCGGTCAGTTTGTTGGTTGGTTTGATTGCAGTACTTGCTTCTTAAGCAGTGTTCTCGTTGATTGTGCGTATAGCTTGCTTTCGATTGCGCCGCCTCACCTATGTCCCTACATGGCGCCCCTTCATGGCCTCATTGCTCATGTAGCCGGTCTTGGCAAGTGCTGTAGGCAATCTGAGCATGAATTGGCAGCGTTTTCCTAACACAGACACAAACCCAAGTAAACAAGCTTTGCTCCATGATGATTTCTCATGTGTCCCAACAATCAACAAGTTTGAATCTTTTTAGCTCTTGAGCCTCGCCGAGGTTGACTTGATGGCAGTCTACCGCGTCTCCGTGTCCGTCATGCCTGGAACTCGGAAGATGACGCAGGTCAAGGCAAACCCATTCTCCAGCACGGAAGCAATACTGTGGATGGCCGAAATCCATTCCGCACATCCTAAGAAAGCCTGGTTTCTGAGTCGATTCCCCTGTCAATACCAACAAACAAATGCTGGAATTCATCCATTCATAGTAAGCCCGAAACGCCAAAAGCAAACTTTTCGAAGCTCAACCAACTAGCAAATCGCGGCAACGGGATGCCTGGGTCGCGTTTTGGCTGGTGGGTCAGTTGAATTTTGCTCCGCTAAAGGCTGCGAAGGTGGCAACTTCCGCTTGCGTATTTTTTCCGGCAGAATAGGATCCATTCGGCGTATAGACCTGAGGTTGCAGGGTCCCTCCGGGGAAGTTGCCTTGATCCAATTCCTCAGACGCAGTTGGACCTGGATGGCGGTTTACTGGTAAATAATAGTGACCAATACACCCTATTAGTTTTTATTGCGTCAAATTGTCCTCAGTATGTCCACTGAAAGGGGGGGGAAGTCAATAAGCCCAAAGGCCACTGAAGATTAAACCAAGCGGCTATCTTGCACATTTTCGGGGGGATACCAAGCCATACTTTGGCTTAGTATGGCTCGCTGACTGGGAATGGATCAACTCTATTTCCTTGTGTGTCCCACCTCCCCTGGTTCTTGTGGGTCAAACTGACACAAGTTCAAGAACATCAGTTTAAGCCCATGACGAAGATTCCTTTCTGGGTCACTTTCCTCAGGTTGGTAAAGTACTACAATGTGCCGAGTCCCTACGGTTGCTCCGAGATCCCATGTTTTCGGGGACAGTACCTAGATGGCCCGAATGTTTGCTAAACCCTTATGGGTGTGTTTTTTCTTCGAGGGGACCTCCAAACCGGTAGTTGTCCTTTTGGTTTCCCTTTGAAACACACCAAAAAAGGGGCACCAACAACACAAACAACAGATCCTTATAACCAGGATCAACCATGTCAGTGTGACTGCCCGGAGGCTGAAGCGCATGCTGCTGCAGCAGCAGGCGACACAGACGCGCTGCGCGTGTTTGACTTTAAGGACATGGAAGCCACAACAGCGGTTGCTTTCGGCAGCTCCTTGCAATGTTTTCCCAGGACAGTGCCGGTCCTTTCGGGGGCTGCCTTCAAACTGCCCATGGCCACTCCGGGTTAAGTCCTAGGTAGTGCCCTCGGAGCCCTTTTCTGGGGAAGGGTTCCCCTACATAATAGACTACAGAAAAAGGGTACCCTTATTCTGACCTCTCTACTGGAGGACCTAGAGTCTGTCCAGAGATCGCCAGGCGGACCGCCACATTCCGGAGGAGGCCTTGGTGCAGTGCTCGCGGGTGCTGGAGCGCGCGGCCATGAACATGCAGGCCGCGAACGCCTTCGCGCGCTTCGTGCTTAGCTCGCGGACCTTTCTGGGGCCTTGGATCCTGAAAGCTGCAAGTTGCCTTCGGCTGATCCTTTTGAGACGAAGCGGAACATGGGAAAGGCCCCTGTTTTTTGGGAGTGCGGGGAGGACTAAAAGCAACACAAGAAATGCATCCGGGCTGCGGGCTCTTTCCAGTGGCACTCGCCTTTCCGCGCTTTTGTGGATGGGGCTCTTTTGAAAATCAACGCTAGTCCTTTGTCCTAGGGCCACTGGGCAAGTATGGGCCGTAGAATCTTCCACACGAGTGACGAGTGGGTCCACAGCGAGAGCCAACCTTGGACAGTATGCCTGTTGCACCATACCGGTCTTGTGCAGGCCTTGTCCTTTCGTGTCTCAGGCTTTTCGTTAGGTCTCTGAAGGGTCAGCCCCCCCCCCCCCCGGGCCCGTTGCGGTGTCAGCCGCAAAAGGCAATCACATCAGGCCCCCCCCTCTTTCTGCAGCTGTTGGGTGGCAGCTTGCAGTTTACTTGTGGATTGGTTGTAGGGAGGCGTCTGCCATTTAAGCACCCTCCCTCCCACCCTTGTGAGAATGTTGTCATTGCTGACTCATAGGATGGTTGCTTTGTGCTGCTGCCTTGTAGGCCACATGGGGTGTTGGCTAGTCCCTTCTTCCTAATGCTAAACAGTCCCCATTTTTGGAGTACGTTTTCTTCTTTACGGCTGTGCTACATACAAAGTTGGGACTTTCGAGCCGGAGCTCCGAGAGTACGTTTTCTTTACTACGGCTGTACTACAGACTTTCGAGCCGGAGCTCCGGGAGTACGTATTCTTCTTTACGGCTGTACTACAAAGTTGCGACTTTCGAGCCGTAGCTCCGGGAACAGGGGGGGACCCCTAATGCTAAAACCGGTTTTTCCGGGAGGGCCCGCTTAGTATTGGGGGGGGGGGGGGCGTTTAGCATTCGGGGGAAGGGATTAAAGGAGTAAGCATCATGTTGCCGAAAAGCTGTCTTACGTTTTGGGGGCGCGGAGTCTGCGTGATTGGACATGTCAAGCTTTGGAAGCATTGGCCAAGAGTACTCACCTGGAGTTTCGAGATTGGATATCCCGTTGTTCCTTCCCTCGCCGCCCATCGCTCATCTAATGAGCCAAACACATTTTCATGGCTCAGCAAAAACTCTTCGATTGGAGTTTTGCGTTCAACATGGGCTAGAGTGAGGATGCAACTTCGCAGCACGCTGAGACTAACAGTAGAATAAGCATCCTTACACACTGACGAGGACCCTTTAATGGGTCCCTTCAAGAGCAAAACGGTCTTTCAGGAACCTCCAGTCAGGCTCCATGTTGGTGAGCGGGTAATTCGTATTTAAACATCATCTTACGCAGCGCCGCCGAGCTGGTGCCATACTTGATCCTGTGTTTTATTTGGTGGTGGCACATTTCCTAAGCCCGAGGCTTGACAGACTCCCAATCCAACCACTAGTTTTGGCTTAATTATCGGCAACCAGTCGCCAAAAAGGCCCAGCATGTCTCGTGGATACATGAATGAATCCATATATCAGCCTTAGCTTCCTCATGTCCATTTCGGATTTATGCAGGAGACCGCACCAATCACAGGAACCCAAGCAGAAAACACACTTTCCCCAACGGCGAATCCCCACCGAGTGCAGGCAAAACACGTCACGGAGCTGGAGTGCGAAGCCTTTGAGAAGGCGGCGATTGTCATTGGAACCCACGCTCTTCTCTTCCATTTGCTGAAATGAATATTGGTTTATTCTCCCCTGTTGGTTTTGAAAGAATCTATCACTACTGGAGTTAATTTTATTTGTTTTTTTCCCCAGGAGCCTTAACCAAATGGAAGATGTTTTCTTGCTGGTGCGCAGCAGAGAATGACGTGTTGGGATTGAACCTAGGGGGTCCCCTTCAAGATGATGTTTAGGGGTTGTTTCCTCATTCTCTGCTTGAGCAGCAGCAAGTTGTATTGGGATAGGGGGGGGGGGTGTTTTTTGCCAATACCACTGAGCTCGTTTGGTTCGTGTGGGCGTCCGCCTTAGAAGGCTTATCCCAATCCGACTCGTGAGCGTGGATCCCCGGGCTCTAAATGAACTGAGGGCCCAATGTGGTGTGTTTTTGGAGTACCCGTCTTGGGGGTTTTGAAAAGGAAAATAAGGGGAAGCCAATATTTTGGGTGGTTCCCCTATTTTGCGCCAACATGCTAACCTTTGAATGCTGTGTATGCTGACCGGTGATTCATTGATGGCCTCTTCGGCAATGGCCACATCCAGGCATGTCTTGAAGCAAACGTCCCTCCGCCCAGCGGCATGGCTATTGTTCCTGAGGTTGCCGTTGAAATCGACCAACCTGCCTATGATTTCAGGCAACTTAATGGAGAATGATCATGCTCCGGACCTTTTCACCATTTCTGAATGAACATAATCTTTAATGTTGGCACTTGATCAATAAAGCCCCCCCGCAACAATGGAGGCGCTAGAAAACAGTAGGCTCACTTTTGGGACGTCCAAGCAATTGAGGATTTTGGGGCCCAATTCTACTTTAGAATTGCAGCCACTTCTTTTTGCAATTTTATTTTAGTGTAGCAACCACTTCTTCCTGAGCAGACTTGTTGGAATACTGCTTTAGTATTGCAACCACTTCTTTCTGAGATACTTTTTGGAATACTACCGCAGTATTACAGTCACTTCCCTTTCAGTTCTTTCTGTGGCCATTCAAAGCGTATGCCTTTCAGCCAGGGAGGGCTTGAGCTTGAGCCAGGGAGGGCTGGGGATGGTTTTCACATTTCACAGGTTCAGCTGGCTTTGGGCTTTGCGTTTGAGCAACCAATTCAAAGGGGAATGCTTTTAAGCAAGTGGGCCACCAATTGAACGGGGATGCTTTTAAGCAAGTGGGCCTTGAAAGGGGAATGCGTTTAAGCAAGTGGGCCACCAATTGAAAGGGGAATGCTTTTGACTAAAGCAACTGATAGTATATTTTATGGGAGGGGGGGTTGAAAGCTTGCAGACTAATGTGGTCCCCCGAAAGAATGCCATTGTTGTGGTTCAGTGGGGTCTGTGAGGGCTACCCTTGTCCTGATTGTTTTTTGTGCATTAAAATACTGTTCAGTAAAGAATTTGCAGTTTCAGGGCTAGGGATGGTTTTCAAATTTCACAGGTTTCAGCTGGCTTGGGGTTTTGTTTTTGGGCAACCAATTCAAAGGGGAATGTTTTTAAGCAAGTGATCCCTTCACTTGCTGGTGCTCAGCAGTAAACGTGGAATGACCCCTATCAACCATCCCCTATGGCTTCCTTTCAGGGAATCCCAAATTCCCTTCTCTCTGAGCACCAAGAAACAGGCGATGTGGATGGGAACGTCTCAGGAGCTGTCAACCGATCTGAAGGCAAGCCCCGGACTCAGAGGAATCAACTGCCATGTGGCCTTGGAGCCACTCGTAGCTTCCTTCCATTGTTTAAGAATGTTTTTGTGTTTTCCCCTGTTGGTTTTAAAGGGAACCCACCACTACGTGAAAAGAATATATATATATATATATATTTTTGCCAGGGGTCTTAAACAAAAGGGAAGCTTCCTTACGGTCCTGACAGCATGCAATCAGTCCAAAGGGCCCTAAATTTGATGCCATGTCGATGGTTGCAAATGGCCATGGCTGCAGTTTGGGTGACGGCACGGGAATTCCTCCGCATGTGGAGTTGAGTTACTGAGTTGTGTCCGAGCTGTTGTTGGGAAGGTTTCGCAAAGAAAACCAAAGGGTCGACTCTGCGCTGGAGTTTAGATGACCCAGGTACCTTGTGGCCACCAAGAAGCCACCCAGAAGGTTTTCCAAGCATCTCTGGAAGAAAATTGCGCTTTCCCGGATTTCCGATTGGTCGAACAAGGAAAGCAAGTGGTGCGTTTCCCATAGACAGCCCAACTATGGTCCCTTCTTCTCTACATGTATTGACTTCATCAAACAAGGGTTGAGTTTTTTCCAGGACAATCAAACAACAGCAACGCCCTTTATCCTGAAAGGCCATTGGCTTCGGAGAAGGTGTGACAAAGTCACTCTGCTCTTCCACGTAGTCCCTGCGTTTGCGATTTCCAGTTTGCTTCTCGTACCCTTTGTTTGGAAGATAAAATGATCCAGTAAAGCTGGCTATCCTGGTTGAGAGGGTCCGGCTCTTTTCAACAAAGGGGATCAACAGGCAAACCAATTCGTCCACTGCTTGCGTGTCTCAAGCACAACCCGCACCTGGCCATGTGTGTTTCTTCTTGAACTCGGCGTTCACCGCCTGTTGCACGCTTTGTTGGGCACTTAGGCACCAAACGGACACCAAACTCTTTTTTGGAGGGGTCTTCAATGCGAGGATGTGTCTTAAGCGTCAACCATTGTTGTTTTCTTGGCTGGGTGTCCTCTGATTTCTTCTTGGAGGGGGTCCTCGATTTTTCTGGGAGGGGTCCTCTAAGTTTTGCTTTTTCCCCAGTTCCCTTGTTTCCTTTTTTTCGGGAAGGGTTCCCTTAAACTCAACCAACCACTCAAGGATGCCCGTTTTTCCCCTGGCCACTGGGCATGTGAGGTTACCTTTAAGGGGAAACCAAAGGAAGGCTGCTTAGAAGACTAAAACATGGAAGCTTCTGCCGCCCTCAGTAAGACCTCAGCAAACTCAACACTCACCCAGAACCAGCCCCGAGCGACGGAGTTTCTCTTGGAGGGAGTCCCCAGGATCCGGGACCAAGGCTGGACCAGCCTGCGCTTGGCCGTGGAGACAGGCCGTGCCATGCTGCCCTGGGCTCGGAGATATGTGTTTGAGGATGTCCGGGAGAGGGCCATGGCGCATACATATATGGGTCTGTACATATATATATATATATATATTGACAGAAGCGGTTCTGCATAAACACCTGTTTTCATATTTTGGGTCCAAACGGGATTAAAACCCCGGACGACCCCCCGGACAAACTGCCGGACAACCCTCCGGACAGCTTTGAGGGCACAAAATCGGTGGGACAGCTTTGAGGGCCCAAAAGTCCGGGACAAACCCCCGGACAAATCCCCGAACCCTCCACACAGCTTTCCCGGGACAAACCCCCGGACAAGTCTTCGGACAGGTTTGCAACACACCAAAACCAATTGGAAACCACTCGGAAACCACTCAGAAACCGCTCAGAAACCACTCGGAAACCGCTGAAGCCATTCGGACCCGCTCAAAACCAGAAACCACTCGGGAATCACTCGGAGGGAAGTATTCTCGCGGGAGGGGGGGTTTGCAGCATAAATCTCGGCAAAGTGCGCAGACAACCCTCCGGACAACTTGCCGGACAGTTGTTTGTCCAGCAGTTTGTCCCGGACTTTGTCCGGCACTTTGTGCCGCACTCTGTCCCGCATATCGAGGGGGGTGTTTATGCAGAAGGGCATTCGTCAACATATACATACATATATATATATATATACAAACATCTATCCTCATATGCCCTGGCCAATGCCGCGCTCTCCTAAAAGAACTCATTTCCTTGAATAAAATATGTTCTGAACAAAACCTGCTAAACAGCATGCAACACACTGGTATTTACAGTGTTTGTTTTAATTTCCAAGGGTTGGTGTGGAGTTTCTTAAGTCATTAAGAAACATATCCAATGTCCCAACTTTACCGCGCACAAGTTGAAAAGGATAGTAAGGTGCACACCCCAATAGACTGAAAGCAGACGCTTTAAAGCGATTCAAGATTCCCAGGACTCTAGATCTTGAATCTTGAATCCAGTATGCGACCCCCTTTAAAGCACATGTGGATCCTTGATTCAACATTCAAGATTCCCAAGACTCTAGATCTTGAATCTTGAATCCGGTATGGGGCCCCCAAAACGCTTTAAGGCACGTTTATCATGGGTTCAAGATTCAAGAACTAGAGTCATTGGAATCTTGAATCATAGATCCCAATGTGCTTTAAAGCGCGCTTTAAAGCGTTTTGGGGGGTTCTATACAGGATTTGAGATTCAACATCTAGAGTCCTGGGGATTCTGAATCTTGAATCTTAGATCCAAAAAAGCGCTTTAAAGCGCTTTGGGGGTTCTATACAGGATTCGAGATTCAACATCTAGAGTTCTGGGGATCTTGAATCTTGAATCTTAGATCCAAAAAAAGCGCTTTAAAGCGTTTTGAGGGGTTATATACAGGATTCGAGATTCAACATCTAGAGTTCTGGGAATCTTGAATCTTGAATCTTAGATCCAAAAACAAGCGCTTTAAAGCGCTTTGGGGGTTCAATACAGGATTCTTGAATCTTAGCTCCAGAAGTGCTTTAAAGCGCTTTACAGGGTTCTAGGTGGATACAGGGACAGTCGAATGTCGGGCAGGAGGCCTGAAAAGTGGGTGGGCATCGCGCAACAGTACTGCAAACACCAACAAATTTTCTTGGGGCGTGTTCTTTTTTGTTGTTTTGGGGGGGGGGAACCATGTATATTATATATATATATATATATATGTATACGGGTCTGTCTTTTTGGGTTGGTTTAATGGAGAAGCAATCGGAAACACCGAAGTCCCGTTTGGGGGGTCCCACTGGGCCCGTGACTTCTGTGCCCCACCCCGAGGCTTCGAATGCATCGCGAAGGTAACAGGAGCCCATCGCTTCTGTGGTGTCGACTGACTTCCGTCGGCGGTTTTCGTTGAAAGCTGCGCCCAAAACCTTTCTTGGCCCTCTGTGTAGGTTCTACTACTTGGCTTTGAGGTTGTAGTATGGCCTACATAAGCCTTCATAGCCATGGTAGAGCCGAAGGTCAACGGATGTGGGATTAAGCATACTGTTTTGCAACAGCATGCTTCTCAACTTGTTTCGCGTGCAGCTCATTTTGAAGGGCATGCTCTGTTTTCGTTTGGTCGGGCGCAGGCAAGAACAGCTTCGGCGACGGTAGGGGGAGGTGGGTAATCGCATCAGAGTCGATGACAAAGTGGCTTCGTTTAGACCTGGCGTCAGGTGGTGCCGCCTTCCAGGGAGGGTCCCAACGCCAGTTCCGCAACTTTGACAATCGCCCGCTTTTTGCTTGCCCAGCATATCACGGTCGAAGATGCAGGTAGTAGTAGTGAGTAGTCGTCCAGTGTGATACTGCAATAGGCCTCTCGGACAGGCAATGCATGTGCAGAACCTATCTATCAGCAGTGGCACCTAGGGTCACATGGTTGAGTCCTCAGAGTCTCGATCAAGCCTTTGCTTACTCCCAACTTAACAGGGGACCAAGAAACCCTCATTTTTCCCGGCCATCCGATTCCTTGGGTTTTTAGGTTGTTAGTTGGTTTAGGGGAAGTTTCCATTTGGGGGACCCCTGTTTTGGGGGTCCATGTGAATTTGCAGGGAGTTTTATTGATGCCTGTCTACGCTGGTCATGCAGCTTTCAACTACACAGACGCAAACCCAGATACGGACAGGACAGACTCTCACGCGGGCACATCAAATAGAGACTGACACACACCCAGACGCAGCCGCAAACCCAGCCACATACGCGGAACAGACGCACACGCGCAGACACACAGATACCCACATAGATACCCACACAGATACCCACGCATTTGCACAATTTCACCAGAAGATGACGTTGTCACCGGAAGATGCCTTTTGAGGCTGCGTGGAGCCTTTGGACTCGCAAAGAGCACCCAATGGCCAACCGGCAGGACCTTCATCCGCTTCATGATCAAAGGCTTCCAGGACTATTTCAGCGCATGCCCCTCTGCCGGCAGTTGGATGATATTGTGGAGAGGTGTTGACGGCAACGCCCAGGTGTTCAGTGGATTCCATGTTGTTTCATCTTACAAATGGACCATGTTTTGCAGGCTGCGGTGTTGCGATGTTGGCCGTTCTGGCGGGGCAAACCTGCATCTTCATCAGTTGTTAAAGCGGGGAGCTCCCACAATCGATTGCCGGAGGAAGTCAACTACACTTCCCATTCACGCCTTTGATGGTTTGATTGCCAACCAATGGAAACAGGGTTGCTTGGAGTCAGTCAAAACGTTCACCAACATCCGAAGGTTGAATCTTGGTGATGGTTTCCGTTTTTTTTTTTTTTTTTTTTTTTTTTTTTTTTTTTTTTTTTTTTTTTCGTTTGCAGGCCTACTTCGGCCGCCAAAACGAGCAAGCTTGTTATTGGACCTTCCTTTACATGCGAAAGGGCTATGGTCAGTGCCCAAAAACCCGTGACACCGTCACACGTTCGCACATCCCCATATCTCCTATGCAGCGCACTTCTCCACAATGACCCACTAAAAGTGCTTTCCGCTTCGAGTTGAGCATCGGATGCTTCGAAGTCGTCGAGTGCTGTCTTTTAAAGTGGCGGGGACCAGAGGGCTGCATTCGTAGAAGTGCGATAGAAGGGCATCCAGGACTTGTTTCCCAGAAAGGTGGGGGATCATCAACCCAGTGTTTGTCGAAGTCAATCCACAAAAAGCCCGCCTTGTTTTCCTATGGCCACTGACCAATTTCAGACATGCAGTCATTGATCAAGCGCCAATACTGCCTTGATGGTTGTTAAAGGTCATACCTTGGCCTTTGGATTGGTGTTAGACTGCGCTGATGCAACTCGGCCACCTCGTAAGCTACCCGCCCTTCTTTGCGATGGTGTGACGGGGATCAACCAGGTTCCAACATGTGATACACACACACAACTTCCCCCGCGCGCACCATGCCAGCGCGTGTGCGTATAAGCTTCTTTACATAATATTATATATGTGGGTGGGTTGGTGTGGGGTTGGTTGGGGGGGGGGGGCGGGATTTGGGGGCGGCGGGGTTCGTGTGTGTGTGTGTGAGTGGTGTGTGGTGGGTGCATGCGTGCGTGCATGCGGGAGTGAGTGCTTGCGAGTGCATTCAAGTTGGGAGCGGCATGGTGGACTCACTCTGGTTCAACTGCTCACAAGTAGGAGGAGAGGAGTTGCCCATTCGTCCATGTCCAGTAGCGCGTTCGCATTTTTATGGGCAATTAAGAGCGACCTCTCACAGAACATATGCGACCTCAGCCATAGTGAAGTTTCCCTTTCTGTTCTTGCTGATATGAGGTATTCTGCTTCACCCTATGCTGAAACCGTGGCAATCACAACAGGATTGCTCGGAGCCTCCGAGCAGACGATCAACCCAGACAATTCGTAAAAGGTGAAATGGTTTCCTTGGGTTTCCTTGACCATTGGATAAGTGTTTCGGTGTCTTTAGGTGCTATCAGCAACAGCAATGACTTTGATGACTTGCCCGGGTACAAGCAACTGCTGACGGAGCCTTGGTGGGTGCTGCACTCAGCTTGGATTTCCTTTCTGCCGTGCCATTTTCTCTTGGGACAACTTCAAAGCTTGATTGCTATTGGGTTGGATCTTTAGACTTTAGCTTTTTGGAAAATAAAGGTGATGTCCACTAAGCCCTCAAAAGTTAAACTTTTTGCAGGGCGGTCAACAGCAACCAAGAAAGGGGGCAAGAAGTGTTACGGAAAGCCTCGAGATGCCGCATAACAGGGCCAAGCAAGCTAAAAACGTCTTATGAGGAGATGAATACCGAATCCCTGCCTCGTTCATTTGGTTTCCACAAACTCACCGCCGTTGCCAATCTGTTCTTGTTTCAGTCTCAGCGGGTAAAATGCATACACCCCATGAGGAACATCCCGCACTTGGAACAATGGCCTTAACGGCATGAATCCGATAAGGATTGTCCAAGCCTCTATTTGAACAGCCTGTGTTTGTGAGGTATGTTATGTATGCATGTTGCAGATTTCAACATAAGCATCAACACGTACACCCCACCTAGCTGCAACTCTTTGGCCCCAGGCAACATATTTGAACAACTGCCGTTCTTTCGGTTGGGTTCTCAAAACAGTGGTCCCTCAAAAGGGGGGGGTGTCCTTTATACCAACCAAAAGCAGGGCCAGTATATCCTTTGCTTGAGCTGAAACCTTGGAGTTTCCGGAAAGCCCAGTAATGCGAGCTGTTCGTCCGAACGCGATTTGAGGAGGGATTTAAGAAAAGGTTGTATTGAAGACGAGCAGAAGGAAGAAGAGTATAGCACTGGGTGAATGTAGGTCTTGGGGCTGAATATCAGCCTCGATGTGTGGTGCACATTTGCTTGCGTGGCATCACCTACAAGACTATCTCTCTTATGTCCCTTGACTCGCTTGCTTTCGAAGTGGAATTTGAGAATTCAGAATAACTCTAAAATGAGTACACTCATTCTCCATTTCAGGCTGGGCAAAAGTCACCCCGGCGTTGAGAAGCATCTGGATTGGCAGATTTTAACATGGCACGGGGAATCCGATGACTACCGCTCGTAGACTTCTCTTCAGGAGCCCTGAGTGGGGGCATGTTTGTGTCGTTTTCATGTGCTTTGAGTCATGGTTCTTGGTGGCTCCTAGCCACCCCCTTGGCTTTTTAGCCTTGTAGTGTTTAGTGGTAGTTTCCATTTAGCCCACTAAAAGGGAAACTTTTAGCAGGGGATCTGAGGGCAGCCCAGGGTTCAGGTTGAAGGAGATACCTTTCAATCAGTACCTTGCCCTCCTTCCCCACTGGACCTGCCTGAGGCGCAGATGCTGGACATGTTGGCGCAGGCCAAAACCGGGGCTCTCAACAGGAGCCCTCCAGCATTTCTTGTTTCTCGGTTTGCGTCCTGGTTTTCAGGGGAGCATTGTTTCGAAACAAAAGTACCCGTTGCCTGCGACCGTACCTTCTCATGGCCCACTGACAAAAAACACATACTGACCTGTGGCTTATGTTGAGAGCGCCATTTGTTTGGAACATGTTATGCTATTCCCCAGAGCCGAGGAAATAGCCCTTGAGAGATGGTCAACCAGGATCCCGGAGTTTGTATGGCTTTGGGTGCTGCCAGATGATTTTGAGTTTGATAGACAAGCCTGGATGTGAAGCATTCCTTGCAAGGATCCTTGCCAGGATTCACCATCGACCCCCTTGCAAAGATCACTTCTGAGACTCGCCCATCAAATCGATGGTTGCAATAGCTTTGTGTTTGCCAAGAATGTAATTCAGCCGGAAACCCACGATTTCCTCTAGCCTGAACGGAGCCCTGAGAAGTCCGAAGGGATAAAGGAACCCGCGCTTCCCCCCACTGCTGCTTGAACAGTACTTGTGATTTTGGACATGAGCAAAAGCAGTTGTTGGGAGGGTGCTGGAGCGAAGCCATTTCTCTCTCTGGCCCTATCTTTGGGGACATGTGTTTAGCATGTGTTTAGCCTCTAATAGTCCACAGCGGCCCAAGCCCAACCGAGCGTCAATAGGTATCTGGCTTGCTTCTGCAGTTGACCGCCAAGGAAAAACATGATGCACCCGAATGATATATATTGTTGTTACTACGATATAGTATCATATATATATACACATTACATTACATACGAGGATTTAGCATTTGGAGTTGTATGCATGCTGTGGAAATGCCCAAGCTGCGGCAACTGACACAGGACTCACAAAATAACCACAATGCACCCTGAATGAAGTTAGACATTGGAAAGCGATAGGGGGCTCGCCAGTTCGGCAACAACAAGTCGCATGCAAGAAATTCCGACCGCGCTCCACATGCACATTGACATAAGGGGGACATCCAGAATATACACGTACACTTGTGTAATCTTGCGTACATTAGTTATAACACATAGATACATAATTCATGCGGCACGGCACCAGCAAAGTCAGCACAAAAAGGGAGGTGGGGCGAACAGGGCGTCTCGCATGACCTCAACAGGCTTGGCCCAAGAAGTACGTGCAGATGATGGAAAAGAAGATCGAGAAGTTCGATGCCGAGCAGAAGGCGCAGAAGCGTCGGAAGCTCCTGGGAATTGGTAGCTTGGCGTCGGTGCAGTTTCTGCGCGGATTGCCAAGCATACTGCGGATGGACGAATTCCTGCACCACTGAACGTCCATGGGATTGTTTGTTGGTATTTATGGGAGAATCATGATTTCAGGGTTTCTTAGTGCAGGATTTCGTCCAGCCACAGCACTGTGCGATTTTTGGCCAAGTTCCTCAATGAGACCAAAATTGGATAGTTTGTGCGTCAGGTTGCCCGGTTCACACGGAGTCTTGTGCTTCCGGAAATTCCTTTTGATCCTCTCAGCGTGTTCCCAGGGGCCCTCCGCTCCCTCTCAACTGATCCAATGCAATGACTAAAGGGAGGCATCCCCACCCCCCAAGATGGAATTGGGAGAGCGGGGTGCCCCTGGATGGAAGACTATTGGAACTGAAAAATCTCCCCCCCCCCTTGCCCCCTAGTCCGAGGATCGTTTCCTTGAAGCAGGCGTAAGGGTTCTCTTTTGGTAGTCCTGTGCGTCCATCGAAGCGTCTGATGGTTGGGTTCCAATCTGTTTCCTCGTCCTTTTTGGTGTGACATCCGCTCCAAAAGATGTTGTGTTTCTTCACAGCGCGGTTTTGCAACAACAACCGCAGGCTTATATAGCGAGATGCGCATGCCCTATGACTTCTTGCGGCCCCGTTGTCCCATGAGTGAGCGTCGGCACAGGGTTCAGAGGGCCACAAAGGCCATCGACGTCTCACGTGGGCCGCTGTAATTGCGGAGTAGGCTTGAGTCTATCCTGTTTGACCTGCCTAATTGAATGGCTATGATGATTGCCAGAAATCCCAATGTGCACTGGATTTCCACCAAACGCCCAATTGCCCCATTCAGTACCAGTTTCCCCTTTTGCATGGCTTGAACGCCTTGAGGGGCCATTTTCATCGAGTTTCCGTTTGGTGCGTGATGTTTACCTCACCGCACTTCCCACGTGCGCAGTACAGCGACGGGAGCTCCTTCCTGCACGTGGCGGCCGTCGAGGGTTGGGGGCCGAGAAAAGAACCCGACCGGAGGTCCGTGCTAACCCAAAACTATGCCCAACGGGAAAGCATCTCACCAGTGCCCTTTTACCAACTTGTTTTGGGGAGGATTCCCCTACTAAAATAGACTAGAGAAAAAAGAGTACCCTTATTCTAACCTTTCTACTGGAGGACCTAGTCACTCCCCGAGCTCATGAACTTCAACTTGTTGGGAAGACCACTTTAGTTACACACAAATTCTTGGACTTGTTTTGGCCAGCCGAAGTAGGAAGTGAGAAAATGAGAGCAGTGTGCAAAATCCTCAGTCGCCATTCGCGCCCAGGGTTTGTGCGCATTGCTTTTTGGAAGTGTGATTTGAACGGACATGGCACAGCTCTTTGTGCGAGTGAAGTCAGCGGCCTCTCGTCATGGTCGTCTATTTTTGTTTTGCCCAAGCAAACAGATGCTTCGACACTAGTAGCATTCAAAGCTGGCAGGGGACGAGGATAGTCGAGGTCAAGCACGGCCCTTGGACGGCATCTTCAGGGGCTCCCATGTGGTGGTTAGGAGAAAAATTAGCTTGCCGGTCTTGTTGTTGACAGGCGTGTGCAGTCTAGCTTGCTCAAGTCCAAACAGCACTTGGCTGGGCTGTCAGCTGAACAGTGAGTCACACAAAAACCAAACACACAAGACATGTGGAAACGAGGAAAAGGTGGCCTCCTTTGCCCTGTGTCTCCGGTGCCTGCGGTGCATTGGAGGTCACTTGCCCATCTTCAAGCTGGTTCGCAGCTTCTCTGATGCCAACCAGGCGGCGGCCAGTGTTCGGATGGGGGGAGAGAGAAGTTGTATGTTTGTTTGCCATTCCCGACCCTGAGCAATGCAAGGCCCCTTGGGCCCTTAGTGGGTACAAGGGAGGTAACATTGAGGGGGAGTCTTCGCATGCCTACCACTTCGAGGCTTTGATGTGGGGATTGTTTGCGTCAGCACCATTGAACCAAGACGCTTTCCAAATGTGTCGGGTGTTTTTTGCTGCTCGTAAGCATGGGTTCCTGGATTGCCTATATGCCCTCTTCAGAGCAAACATCGCTGGTAAGGAAGGGGCTGGCCACTCGTTCTTAAGCGAGCTGGAACCTCTCGCCTTAAAACGTTTTTTCGTGGCCGTTTGGTTGTTCAGTGTTGCCCCGGAAGCTGAAGGGCAGCTGAAAGGTTCATTTCCAGTGACATCACGGTTCTAGAGTTGTTTGCAACGTGGGACTGGATCATGAGCCAACTCTCGGTTGGCTCCTTCTATGTCAGCCTAGATATCGCCATTGTCAGTTCCAGCATATCGCCCGCCCCGCACTTCACCTGCAAGAAGCCACAAGAAGCCAGCTGAAGCGCTCTGGTGCTCAGCGGCAGTTGTAAACCAATTGCAGGCATTGTTCTATGTGCAGCAGGCGCAATTTTGTAGCTTGCCAGTTCCAGTTAGCCGAAATGCATGGCTTTCCGGACCTAGAGCCTAGAGTACGTTGCTTTTGGCCGGCTTCAGGTGTCCATTGATTTCCCATCGTGTGGTTCCTGATTGTCTTGAAACCTCAACCAGGCCCGTCCCGAAACCTTTCGACGGAGATCTGGATCTCTCAGGAGGGTTCCGTTTGATACTTAGGCGATTGGGTTGCGGTGCCACCCGATCGATCGCCACGCCTAAGCCGGACACGCCAGACCTACCTGTGGAAAGCTCGCATCAGCGATCAGAAAACCCCGCTGCACGCCCGGGTCGCACAGTCGCCCACCCCCTCTCCCCCCACCGCCGCCACAGGCATTAGGTGGGTGGTTCTGCCTGGTTTAATGGGGGTGAGGGCTACACAAACCTTTATAATTTACAATTTATTTCCATCGTAGTAGAACCAAACGTCAATTGGTTTTGGGCTCCCAAAATGAGTCTATTTGGATGGTCTGAATTTATTCATCGAACATTGTGGGGGGTAGACGTTTGCAGCCAACCCGAGAGTACTTGCTGGTGCTCAGTAGGGAGTGGGGAAGGAACCCAGGATCCCCTTAAAGGAAACCACCAGAGATGGTTTATATGAATATGGGTCATTCCCTCATTCCATTCCCTGCCTATCAGCAAGATTAACTCACCTGCGGTCACCTGCGACAGCTTTCAATCCACTTTCCGAACATGGGGCACTTTGACTCCGCACGGGTGGTTGTACACTCAAAAGATGCCCAACCCGCAGAGGCGGGTCCTTGGTCGCCCAGGGCTATTTAGGTTTGTCTTAAAAATTGGGGCACTCCGAAAATGGTTGGTTTGGTTTCCCTTCAAACCATACCAAAAAAGATTGCCCTCAAAAATACACACGCCCAGTCCTTTCTCTCATAGGCCTTTGCCCCTCAATCAGCCGTTATCAACGAGCTTCGCGAATCATAACGACCTCGCAAATAAGGAATGTCATCAGACCCGTATCCTGATGTCAACGCATGTCTGAAACTATGCGCATGATGCTGCTTTCATTGCGCGCCCACGCATTTTTGCCTATGACTCAGGACGGCTTAACATGTTTGGGTGGAACTCATTATAATGTTCGGATCCCCCTCATTGGGATGCCAGTCATGAATTCGCATTGGCAAAGGCTCTCCATGGAATCCGTTCATCAACGTCCACTTAGAAGAGGTTGGGCTCCGAACATGTTCCGCGTTCGGGATTTTGGCAATTGGCTTTTTGGGGATTTGTTGGGCAAAACGACAGCCTCGATCTGGCAGCTGATTTTCTCTTCAGGTGAGCCTCAATCAAAACGGCTAATCAAAGGAGAGCCCCAACCGCAAATAGGAGCGGCTGCCCTTTTGATTCTTTACGTGGATTTTGGGTAGACGATTCTAATACCTCAGGGTTGTGACTCAGGTCGCATCGCAGAATGGGCATCTCCTCGTGCCGCGGACCTCAGTGGCTTGCTGCTGGGTAGAGGTGTCCTTTTGGCGAGCAACGAGCAAAAAGGGTTTTGTGATGTTTGCTTGAAATCTGGTTTAATGCACTCTCAAAAGCGGGTGCCATCAACAAAAGGACACACCCGAGTCAATTTGGTCCAATGTTCCAGTGCCGTCTATCCTCTAAGGGTTGATAACTTTACGAGGTACTGCGTAGGCCACTCTTGCCTGACAAAGTGGCAAGAGGACCACCCCTACACAATATTTCAATAGCACTCGGGAACCATTTTCTGTGGGGAATGTTGCTTGTTCCTATCCCAAGCAAGAACACACGCGCAGTGTGAGAGTCCCAGCGAGTTTGTTCTGATGAACAATAGTATTCAACACAACAAAAGCCAAGCCGCACCTTACCGAAGATTGGCCGTTTCCCGGTACAGAGCAAGCCTTTGTGCTTGACAGGCCATTGGTTCCTCAATGTCACTCGTGGTTCTCTCCATAGGCCAGTGACTCCCAATCTGACAAAGACGCACCGCGGACATATTTTTGTTCTGAACCCGGGAAACGGCAGGTGGAAACTGAATATTCCGCGTTTATGCCCGGCTGTCAACAGAGTTGGGCTGAGAGATCTTCGAAAGCCCAGCGGCTTCCCCTGAGGTGCAAAACGATCTTAGAGAAGAAGGCGCGTCACGGACTGAGCCCAAAGGGAGCCCATAGCTCAATCTCCTCATGCCGGTTGCCGTGCATCACATGCATTTGTCCGGGTTGCTGATACCAAGATTTGTCTTATTGATTTAATGTCTTGTCATCAGAAGGGGCCGACTCACGAGCTGCCAAAAGCTAAGGATTGATTTGGCTCGTGTATGGCCGCTTACCTCCTTGCGTGTAGTTGATGGTTTGAGCTCATTAATATTCAGTACAGCAACCCAGCATGAATGATTTCACCCAACACCACGAGTGGATATGTTTGACCCTTCCACTTCAGCTTAGCGCGCGGAGAAGCAAGTTGTCTTTGAACCAAGGACTGGAACTATAGTTGTTCTCTCCAATTCCAACTTCCTCCCAGTTTGAGTTGCCCTTATCCAACTCCTGCAGCGTGTTGAACATTCTAATGGGCGAACCAAAGTGCACTTTCATATCTCAAGGATATGGAGGTGGTGAGGGTGGTTCCACAATGTTTCGCGTTGGCAGATGCACCCTTGTGTCCAGCCACACCATTCCCAGCAGGGAAAAGCAATTACGCGGACTCACACAGAGACATGGGTACTCCGCCCGTGGCCAGTTTCCCTGTTTTGCCGCTTTGCTTCTTCCAGTCGGTTCTCAACCAGAAACGGACAGCTAAGAACAAGCAGCCTCTTTCCCTCCATTGACAGCCACTACCAGCTGTGGCTGGTAGGCCTTCGCAAACAGATGTGGTCAGCAGTTCTGGCACGTTGCGTGTGCCGATGCACGTGAAACATTCATCTCTCCTTGGTCGGTGCAGGTGACGGGATCGGCTCGCTTTGAGCGAGTTGTTGAAGCAGTTGCCAAGGTTTCTAGGGATACCTTCCCCATTCTTTCCAGGGATCCTTCTTTTCAAAAAACCATCAAAATCCCAGAAGAAACAGCTAGTTTTCTTTTTTCTAGCAATATTTGAAAATAATAAGGAATCAACCCCCAGCCGGCAGCATTAACCCAAAATGCTTTGCAGCATAGGCTGCCGAATCGAAGCGCCAGGCGTCTGTGAATGTGGAAGACAGCAAGGACCGGAGGGGCGGCATAAACTTAGCGCCGTGCAGTTGTTCTTTCCCCTTTAGTCAGTTCAAGCAACCCTTCATTCGGCAACCCTTCAAAAAGACCAGGTTCTCTAAGAACGCCACCAGACATTGGGTCAGGCATGCTGTCTCAATTCAAGCATGCGCAGTGACCAGACTCTTTGAACTACTGTTTACTTGTTGATGTCCCAAGTTTTTTTTGACTGAGATTCAGCCCTGGCTCTGGCGTTTTAGCCAGCAACAAGACTGGTTGAGTAAGCAGTCTCCGGATGCAGGTGCATGGGCTGGCATGTAGATATGCCACTTTCAAGAATCCGAAAGATTGCAGGCATGGGCAACGTATAGGAAGCAAACACATATGTCCGGCCGTGGGTCCCCTTTTTTGGAGGCGTGGGCAACGTATGCGTCACAGGCGTATGAATGGTTTGGAGCACTTGCCTGTGCCAAAGCTGCCTGACAGAGAAGGGAGCTATCCCTATATTCAACACACGCATATCCACGTATACATGTCCCTTGTATCAGTAGGTGGCATACCTCTACATCCCACATGTAAAACATGCCATGGACTGACTGCTAAGCATTGCCTCCATTCTGTGGCTCACGCGGTCTGTTGCCACCAACCTGTACAGCCTTCATGGGCATCCGAATCAAAGCGTGCACATGACCTTCTATATCATCTTTGTTTGCGGTCGTCAGATGCCTCAATGACTTTTTGGGTGATTCATTGTCGAAGGCTTGGACTACAAGGTCAAAGGGTCTTGCGCCGCTGGTCAACCTCCCCGAGAGCCTTGACAAAAAAGCCTTGAGTTTGTTCAGTTCCCACACTAGGTCCCCCAGTGCCCTTTTACCAACTTTTTTGAAGGAGGGTTCCCCTACTAGAATAGACTACATAAAAAAGGGTACCCTTATTCTAACCTCTCTACTGGAGGACTTAGCACAGAAATCCCAAGCAACATATGTGCCATTGATTGACAGCCAAGATGCACATCCCTCGCGCCTCTCCCCAAAGGAGCGGCTGCCCTTGTTCGGGGGCTCAGACGCACCGTGGCGTTTGGGGGGTTTGCGTGTGACGGACTGGGTGCCAATCTCTGTATCCTTGAAGGCAACCTGACTTTCAAATTTCCCCGCCTTCGGGTTCTCCCGCTCCCCCCCTCCCCCTCTCCCCCTCTCCCCCTCTCCCCC